AAATTGCTTAAGTCAATGTGTTCTCTCTTTGACTGGTTTGGTTGTTTCTTTAAGGATCCAAGTATCAAGGAATTGGCTGAGCAAATAGCTAAAGATCCTGCATTTAACCAGTTAGCTGAGCAGCTTCAGGGATCTGTTCCGACCGGTCCTAATGAAGGAGGTGGTCTCCCTAACTTTGACCCACAACAGTATATGGACACAATGACTCAGGTTATGCATAACCCTGAATTTAGGACAATGGCAGAGCGACTTGGTAACGCCTTGGTGCAGGTACTAATACAACAAGCTCTTATGATGGTTCTTGTTATTATTTTTAATTTGACATTCTGTTTTGTCATCTAATATAGGTGTGTGAATCTCTTTTGTCATCTGTTTTGTTTCAGGATCCACAAATGTCTCCGTTTCTGGAAGCTCTCGGGAACCCTGGAGCGACAGAGCAATTTGCTGAGCGTATGGCTCAAATGAAAGAAGATCCGGAATTGAAACCTATATTAGCTGAGATAGATGCTGGTGGTCCCTCTGCTATGATGAAGTACGAGATAAAAAAACGATTCTATCATTTGTTTGAAAATATGAGGTTTATTTCTTTGTATAAGAAATTTGGTTTTTTTGGTGTTAGGTACTGGAATGATAAAGATGTGTTGAAAAAGCTTGGTGAAGCAATGGGTATAGCTGTTGGAGCTGATGAAGGTGTTCCTGCTGAACCTGAGGAGGCGGAAGAAGGGGAAGAGGAAGAGTCTATTGTTCACCAGACCGCTAGTCTCGGTGATGTGGAGGTAAACTGCTTCTTACTCTTTCACCCTCTCATGCTTTTGATGCTCTGAATTTTATCCTTAACTGGGATTTGTGCTCGTGCCTAGCTTTTAAACTCACTGTGCATCGATTTCCTGAACCAAACAGGGTTTGAAAACTGCCTTGGCCTCTGGTGGTAACAAAGATGAAGAAGATTCCGAGGGAAGGACAGCATTGCATTTTGCATGTGGATATGGCGAGGTATGATCAATGTCGTAGAACATATCTTAATAATTTCAAACTATCACTATCAGAGAACTATGGAAGAAAATTTATGTTTACAAATTAAGAATCTATACGATCATGATCTTGATGGATTAGCAGCTCGGCTTCACTTAGTAGATTATTACACAATCTATTTGTGTCTACATGTGGTTATAAAAGCTTAGTCGTGTGTGTGATGGTTGAATCTGTTTGTAGATGAAATGTGCTCAAGTTCTTCTGGATGCTGGAGCAAATGTGAATGCGGTTGACAAAAACATGAACACTCCATTGCATTATGCTGCTGGTTATGGAAGGAAAGAGTGTGTAAGCCTTCTCCTAGAGAATGGTGCTGCAGTGTAAGTCTTGCGGAAAAGAAAACACAAATTATATTTCATACACTTGAAATGGATCTATATGACTTTTGAGTGACTTTTGGTTTTGTTTGCAGCACTCTGCAAAACATGGATAGTAAAACTCCAATTGATGTGGCCAAGCTTAATAACCAGCTTGATGTGGTGAAGCTACTTGAGAAGGACGCTTTCCTCTGAGAGCTTTTGAGAAGAAAAACATGTCTTGTGATTAATTACTCTCGAGGGATATGTCTTCTTTCGTCTTTTGTCTTGGTTTTTTTTGTTTTCATTAACTAAATCTGGAAAAAGAAAGAAAAATAAATATAGAAAAAATGGATATTTATTTGTGGTTTTGTAATGAATTATTTTCCTTCTTCAGTTTTGTGTCATCTCTTTTCGTGTGTTTTCGTGTGTTTTTGGTAACCCACTATACCAAAAGAGTAAGGGTGTCAAACGAGTTCACAACTTGGTTTACTTTCAACAATCAAGAAATGCTATATTTTGGAACGTTAGTATGAGGCGATTCTAAACTTTAACCAAGAAAAAGCATGAACCATGTTAAATTCTTTTACGATCCGATCAAAGGTAAACACAAAGTAGTGTGTTTAATATAACTAGCAATGAGTGTTGTGGGAGGTAGAACCAAAACAATTGAATTTGTCACGAGTTTTTAGAGGATAGATTTTTAAGTATGAACCACGCAACACAAAGATCAAAAGATGATTTTATTATTGGTTAAAAGCTTTTTAGTATCAAAGCAAAAATACAAAGTTTCTATCAGGTAAAACTTGCGAATCCCTTTTTTTAAGGGAAGTACATTCATATTTATAGGAGACTAAATCGTCTAGGTTAACCAGCAAAGAGATAAGAAATATTTCTTATTTCTCCAGGAATTTCTTTCTCTGACGTCGGCTGCGTCTAGTGGGCCTCGTCGCGCAACTTGGCCCACTTCTCTTGAAGCCTTGGCTCAGCTCATCTTGTCATGTCTTGGGCTTGGCCCACCTCGTCACGTCTTGGTCTCGGCCCACCGCGTAATGTCTTAGAGCATCTTCAATTTACCTTTATTTTTTTCTCTATAATAGAACAAAATATATCATTCTTCTATTTTTCCTCCAACCCACCTCTATTTTCATTTCTAAAATACATATTGTTATTTTATCTCCAAATATAGAGGAAGAAATAAAGATTTTTTTTGTCTTATTCATATTTTCTCTAAAATAGAAGAAAAAATACTTTGGAGAGAAATTAGAAGATTGCTATATTTTATTATATCTTAGGCCGTCTAATTTGAAACAGACTAACTAAGACCTAACTCTATTGTGTAGAGCATGGCCGCACATAGAGCAAGAGCTTCAACAGGACCAATGGTTAAATTGATGAGTGGATGAAACCAATAAGCCCAAATCCAGCGAGGCCAAGTGCATGACGAGGTGGCAAACCAGGCAAGGCAGACTGCACGATGGAGCTGTCAAATTGACAAGGCCAGAGCAGCGAGCCTGGCAAATCCAAGAACACGACATAGCGGCAAAGTCAAGTTCTTAGTAAAGTAGTGAAACCGGCGAGCCCAAAATCATAACAGAGAGGTGGGCTCGTAAAGACATATACTTGTATGATATAACATAGTATTTTTTGCATATATAGCATAATAGTGTTCTTACTGAAGAAGGTGAATCTTCTCTCGGAGGAGCACTAAATAAGAAGTTGAAGAAGGAAAAGTTTTTCCTCAATGTTGATTTTCGCATACAAGTTGTGTGGATGTATAACTTTAATAGTTTTAGTGAGGAAGAATTTGTGTTAGCTTCACTTTTTGGTGATACAAGGAACAGTGACAGAAAAGTTGATGATCAAGACGTCGTCGATTCTTACAAACGTGAAGTTGAAGATCGAAGCTGCAGTAGCCAAACTAATGGAACTTCCAAAAGTGTGGTGGATATGCCTTGTGTTTTACACCCTCCACCACAACTCTTAGGATGTTCTATTAATTTGGCTACTGCTGCTTGGGTTTTCATTTTTCGTTTGCAAGAATCGACGACGTTTTGATCATCAACTTTTGTGTCACTGTTCTGTGTGACCAAAAGTGAAGCTAACACAAATTTTTCCTCATTAAAACCATTAAAGTTATATATCCACACAACTTGCACGCGAAAACCAACACTGAGGAAAAACTTTTACTCCTTCAACTTCTTCTTCTGTGCTCCTCCAAGAGAAGATTAACCTTCTTTAGTAAGAACACTATTATACTATATTTACAAGAACATACGGGTATGAACAATGGTTTAATAGATATGAACAATTGGCGTTTTTCCCGTATTTAAGCGTCTAATTTGAAGCATACTAACTAAGATCTAGCTCTAGTGTGCAGAGCATGGCAGCACGTAGAGCAAGAGCTTCAACAGTACCAATGGTTGAATTGATGATTGGATGAATCCAGTAAGTCCAAACCCAGCGAGGCCAAGTGCATGACGAGGTGGCAAACCTGGCAAGGTGGACTGCACGATGGAGGTGTCAAATGGACAAGGCCAGAGCAGCGAGCCTGGCGAATCCAACAACATGACATAACGACAAAGCCAAGTTCTTAGTAAAGTAGTGAAACCGGCGAGCCCAAGATCATAACGGAGAGGTGGACTCGTAAAGACACATATTTGTATGAGCACAAAAGAAGAAGTTGAAGGAGAAAAAGTTTTTCCTAAGTGTTGATTTCCGCGTGAAAATTGTGTGGATGTATAACTTTAATGGTTTAAATGAGGAAGAATTAGTGTTAACTTCACTTTTGGTGACACAAGGAACAATGATAGAGAAATTGATGATCAAGATGTCGTCGATTCCTGCAAACGACATGTTGAAGTTCCAAGTTGCCAAACTAATGGAACTTCCAAAAGTGTGGTGGATATGCAAAACACAAGGCATATCCATCACATTTTTGGAAGTTCCATTAGTTTGGCTACTGCTGCTTGGATCTTCAATTCTTGTTCGTAGGAATCGACGACGTCTTGATCATCAACTTCTCTGTCACCGTTTCTTGTGTCACCAAAAGTGAAGCTAACACAAATTCTTCCTACTTGAAATCATTAAAGTTATACATCCACACAACTTGAACGCGAAAATCATTACTGGGGAAATTTTTTCCTCCTTCAACTTTTTCTTTTTTGCTTCTCTAAGAGAAGATTCACCTTCTTCGGTAAGAACACTATTATACAAGAACATATGAGTCATCAAAATACGGGAGAAACGCTAATTGTTTGGCTGACTCTCTAGCTAAGCGTACTTTGCATGACTTAGGTATCATTTTATCATAACCTACTTTATCAATGAAATCTTTAGTGTTAAAGAAAATTCAGTTTCTCTATGGGCTAAATCTTGCTCTTTCCTTAAACATACACAATATATATATCAGTTTAACATAACCTACCAAAATGAAAACCCTTCCTTAAGTTTTCCTTGATTTGTCAGAGTAAATGAGAAAAATCAGAAAGATGAAGATATCATTAGAGATTAGAGTATACGAGATCAAGAAGGCACATAAAACATGGTCGGAGAAGCGAGGGTGGTAGTGAGAACAGTTGATGATGTGATCTATAGACAGAATTAGGAGACAGTAAAGACTAGCAACAAAAAACGCCAAAGAGGAACTTTGAAGAAAAAAGAGATCTATAAACTGTAAATAACGACCGATAGCCAAAGATATATATCAGTCAAACATAATCTACCAAAATTTAAAATCTTGTCAAAAATTTTCATTGATTTTTTTGAAGAGGGAATGAGAAAAATTATAAATTTAGAGATATCATTATTGGTCGAAAAATACGAGATCCGGAAGAACACACATTTAACATGGTTGAAGAAGCGAAGACGACACTGAGAAAGACTGATGGTGAGATTGATCGACAGAGAAATAGAGAGCTAAAGACATAGCTACATATATGATACCAAATGACAAAGAAAAACTTAAAAGACGAAAAATATGTGAACTTAAACAGTGATAGTAACCAAAATTATATATCAATGAAATAGAATTTACGTACCAAAATTAAAATTCTTATCTAAAATTTTCTCTGATTTTCAAAGAGTGGATGAGGAAAATAAAAATCTCGAAATGTCATTAGAGGTCGAAAAATATGAAATCTAGAAGGATGCACATAAAATATGTTGAGATTGATCGACAAAGAAAGAGGATGGTGAAGACTAACTACATATGACAACATATAACAAAGAGAAACTTAGAAGATGAGTAGATTTGCCAAATGTAAATAACAATCAATAGCCAAAAGAATAGATCAATTAAATATAATCTACCAAAATTAAAAATCTTGCCTAGACTTGAATCAAAATGAGATTTAGAAGAGCGAACATAGACCATGGTTGGAGAAGCGAAGACAGTAATCAGAACGGTTGACTGTAACATTGATCGACATGGAAAGAGGACAGTGTAGATAACTACAAAAGTGATATCAAACAGCAAAAAAAACTTATAAGATAAATATATATTCTGTTTTTACATAGATTTATTAAAGTTAGAAAAAGAATAATATCTCAACAAATGGTATTTTTTAGAATTACTTATCTTATTTGTTTTATTTGGTCAAGACTTATTTGGT